TTAGTCGTGAGTATCCGATAACCATGCACAAATTTTCATCCTACCCTCAACATTCACTGAGGCCAGTTTACCGTTTTTGGCCCAGGTTCTCTGAAAGCGGACAACATTAAACTTTTGCCAATCTGCTTGAATAATTCTTCGTATATTCTGTTTCACTTGTTGTTGCTGTTGCTTACGTGAAGTGTCTTCATTTCTCAATACTTTAGCATTTCTTACCTTCTAGATAACCTTCATAACCACCCCTCTGCAACAGAGGGCAATGTAGCCCCAGTCCGTAGAGTAACAGAAGTCGGAAGGCAGGATTCCAGTAATCATCCACGAGTCGGACCATTCAAAAGCCCCTGCCGATATCTTTCCCCAGTGAACCTTCCACCACTGCAGTACCTCAACTACTAGGGGGCAGTACAACCATATGTGAATCATATTTTCCCAGCCCCAGTTGCAGCGTTGGCACAAGGTATTCACCTCCAAGCCCTTTGACGACAGCCACATTGCAGTGGCAGTTACGAACAATGACTGAAGCCACATAATACCTGTCTGTTTCTGCACTGGTAGTTTGGTGAGTGTCTTCCAGAGGCTGATCAACTTGTATTCCGTTACCCCTGTCAACTGGTGAGATTCTGCTCGTTGCAGGGCCAGAGAGACTGTCGATTTCTTCAGACTTGTTTGTTGTCTTTGAACCCCCACTCTTGGTCTGTATTGGATCAAAGGTATGAACTTGGAGTATATCGACCATTTTTGCAGGAGGGGCTCTATTTTGAACTGAGATGCATCCCCTAGCAATGTTGCAGACGTTTTCTTATGCTGGATCTGAAGCTTCACTCTCACTTCCCTCAGGGCTCTGGTATCCAATGACGGTCAATTCGCCTCTTCTAATTTCAACACCTCTGAGTTGTCGGGGGAGAGTCTCCAACTCTGAATTTTTCTTCCCCCCCCTTGCTCCTTGTCGAGGATCTGCAGGAAACGACTCTTCCGCCCTCAGCTAAGTACCTGCCGGATGGTCAGTATCCAGTTGTAGTATCCTGACCCAATTTGGAGGGATGGCCGCTATAAGTGCTTCCCTATGCCTTTTAACATTGTGTAGTCTGGGTAGTTTCCTTCTCAGCTGCGATTCAGACAAGAACACGGCTTGATCAGCATCCCATATGTCCTTTAACTGCAAGACTCTCTTCTTCGCCCACGTTGAGCCATCTGCCTTTGTTATCCCCGGATTCTCGAAAAATATCTGATTCAAAATTTCCTGCTTTGTTGAAGGTGGAAAACTCTTGTCCGAGAAGATTTTCGGCCATGCGCTCAGGATACCACTCCATACATTGGATTTCACCTTCCTTGTTCCAAAGGACTTAATCAACATGCACACCCATACCTTCGAGGGGTCCTCCAAGTCCCATTCTATTCCCAATAAATATTCTGCTAAATCCTTCCACTCCTTTCCTTCTCCATTCCCCATTGCCTGTATTGCCCATTTCGCAAGTAGGGCGACATTTTGTTGTTCCGGATCAAGGATCCCTAATCCTCCTTTCTTCGAACCTGAAGGAATCTCTCCATTTTGGAATTGTTCTACGCCTAGAATCTCATCACAACAGCGTCTGGAATTAGATAATCCTACTACAGTAGAAGAAGTCACTAGAGCAGCCAGACGAATGGCCAAGGGCAAATGCCCAGGCCCGGATGGCCTTCCAATTGAATTCTTTTTATCTGCATGGGATGTGTTTGGTATTTTTTTTTGTAACATTTTTAATGAGACTTTGGAATCTGGCTCCTTGCCGAAAGGCCTGGTAATAGGAATGATATCTCTACTCTACAAAAAAGGAGATAAAAGGGATATAAGAAATTGGCGACCCATATCGGTCCTGAACGTATCCTATAAATTGTTGGCAAAAGTGTTAGCCCCTAGATTAGCCGATATCCTTCCGTCTGTGGTAGGAAAGGAGCAAGGGGCATTGGTTAAAGGGCGATCAATTTTTGACAACATTATGGCTACGGTTCAGGCATTAGAAATAATTGGTAAAGAGAAGAGGGAAGTGGCAATCTTAATGTTGGATATGGAAAAAGCATACGACAAAGTGGGTTGGGCCTTTGTCAACACTTCCCTTTTGAACATGGGGTTTGGCCAAGCTTTTCGTTGTTGGGTTAAGGTAATGTATGCGGACGCAAAGGCGACAGTCCTAGTAAATGGGAAGCAGTCGGAAGAGTTTGTCCTCTCTCGGTCCCTGAGACAGGGCTGTCCCCTTGCGCCGCTAATATTTGTCCTCCAATTAGAGGTCCTCCTAGCAAACATAAGGTCAAATCATTTAATAACGGGCCTCTGCATTTCACCCTCCCTGCATTGGAAGGGAGGTGCTTTAGCAGATGACCTGACCATTGCTTGTGAGAACACAGAAAGGAGCCTGAACGAATTACATTAAGTTATGGATGAGTACTGTGTACTATCTGAAGCCTCCATAAATTGGAATAAGTCTGCCTTTTTCTTACCTTCCCCCTATGAGTTGTGTGGACTGGGGATTGAGACGGGTTCCCACCAATTCTTCAGACCGGTTCTTGGGAGTGCAGATCTCATTAGCAAACTACTGTCAAATTCAAGATGCCCTCTTGGTCGACAAGGTGGTATCAAGAATAGCGAGTTGGGAGAGACGTTCCTACCTTTCTCTCTTTGGTAGAGCTCTGCAGCAGCCTTCTCAGTCCTTTGGTTTCCCCTGACGATCCATCGGTTAGGCAAGTCGGCCTATAAGACGATCAAGGCGGCAGCGGCGCGCTATGTATGGAAGCCTGACGCGGTGGAGGGCCAAGGGTATATATCCAAGGTGGCATGGGAAGTAGTGGCTACCCCAAGGAAGAAACCTTTGTACTTAGTATCCCCCAAATGGGCCAAAACGGCCTCATGGTTCCTTATCATGATAACGGACTCCTTGCTTTTCCCAAAAAAAAAAAAAAAAAAAAAAGGGCCAAAGAGTGGTGCAGGCCCCAAAATGACTTTTTGGGTCATTTTTGCACCCTTGAAAACACTTTCCCGCCATTTTTGCCAGCGGGCCTTGCCGGGGCCGCCAGGGTGCAAACATGACTTGAAAAGCCATTTTGGGGCCTGGGAAACGTTTTACCCCGTTTGGGGGGAATGAATACAAAGGTTTCGTCACTGGGAGGTTCTATACCTTTTCCCGCTCGAATCTGATGATAGCCAGTCCCACTTCTCATTGTGTGCGTCCTTACGTCATAGCATCAGCAGGAGGGTCGAGGGCAGACGTGATTCAAGGGAGAGAGTCTCGACTGTCTCACTCGCACTAGTAGCATCTTCTCTTACGAGGACTGACGTCATTTCTCTGTCTCTCTCTGTCTCTCTCTCTCTCTGTGTGTGCACATTCCATTGTCCATCTGAGTGAGTATGTTGCGTGTGCGACCTTGCCTCGCTGTTTCCCCTGCCCTTTCGGTGAGCATCTTCTCCCGTGGCTGCCATCGCCGTCCCCTTGTCATAGACGAGAAGGGGATAAGTAACTAGAGTAAATACTTTGCTGACAAAATTAGCGGAGCCGCAACTGACAACGCTGCTTTTCAGATCCGATCGACGGTCAATCTGGCCTGCTTTCTCGGTCGTAACGGCGGGACTTCTCTGCACACACGCGCCCTTCTTTTTCTTTTCCTTTGATTAGAACGGCCACGGCCTGGAGACTCTGTCTGAACCACGGCGCAGTGCATCCACTGCCCGATTCCTGCTGTCCGTTGGTTCTGTTTGTCGAAGCAGTTCATTCAGACATCCTCCGAAGTCCACGTCTCGCTTCTCCATCGTCCACTTACCTACGCAGCTACGCTTCTTTGGCTCTCCAGTGGTGAATCGTTATCCTCCACCCTCCTTCCATTCCTCTGGCAACGAGTTATGGGCCTGCGTGTCTCGAGCTGGATGACGATGCTGACGGTGATGATAGGATTGATGATGATGATGATGATGGCCATGCCGTTACGGGTGATAGTGGCGGTCGGAGCAGATATGAGGTGGACAGCGCAGCAGAGAGGAGGGAAGTCCGTTGCGGGAGCGGAGAGTGCTTACAATGAGGAGGTTGGCGATATGCAAGGAGCGAGAGAGCTCCAGGCAGAGCCATCAAGTCGTTTCTCCGTCATAAACACGACTCTTCTTCGAGCTCCCCGAGTGGTTTTGACAACTCCTCTGCTCTTACGTCCAACAGCCAGTGTCACTCAGTGTTTTCATTACATTCAGGATGTCGTATTTAGCTCCCAGACGGGGGTGTTCTTCTACTTGCAGCAGGATTCCTGCTTGAATAGTACTGCAGGAAATAGATTCGATAGACGGTCGATTCACAAGTGTGATATGCGAGGCATGGCCGGATCTGGCCCCGCTCAAGCCAACTCCTCCTTGCTCACTGTAGAGTGGGGGGACGATAACGGGAACGGCACAGCGGTAAGTGACTTCCCAACCTCTATACGGTATTGGTTGTCTACGCTCGATCTGTCGCGGAGCGACCGGCATCTCGTTCTGCCCTTATTGGACAAAGGTCTGGCATTCGTCAACACCACGGATGGTTCCAGAACCACGTACGACATCTCCAACTCCCTGGGTTACGCGGGTGCATTCAATCCTAACCACACTATTTTCTATGTGGGGAATGAAAGCTGCCTTCTCTACTCCGTCATGGATGGGGACTCGCCGGGCAGCTTCGTTGACGATTTCCGAAGTAAAGCATGCTATACGGACTTCCGGAGTGTTCTCTTCGGTCATCGCACTTTTCTCCAAGATGGGAGCTACCTATACGCCTGGGACATACCTCACAGAACATTTCTAGGCTTGGACCTCATTAGTGGAGAGGTGGATCACGTAATCGAGATTCCGCAAATCCAAAAGCTGGGGTTGGGGGATTTTGTGTTGACACAAGATGGATGCAGCTTGTTCGTCGTTGCATATGCTGGGAAGACTATCCTGCGGGCGGCTTTTGAAAAACCGAGAGGAAAGGTGGTCACCGTCGAGAACGTGACTACTTATACCTCAGCATATCGCTCGATCGGGACGGTTGCCCTGGACAATGACGACAGTCACTTGTACGTGTCGACCTCGGATGGTCAGCTGTTCGAATTTCCAATCAACAAGTCCGCTCTAGGGGAATGCAGCGGTGCATTTCCAACACCAGCCGCTCCGACGGGGGCTGCCTCTCCATCGGGAGCATCGTCGGCAGGAGATGATGGCAGTAGTACACGCGTCAGTGGTAGATTGGCCGACACGCTGTCAAGTCCTTCACCGGCAAGCGTCCAAACGCCACCAAGGGGACGTGTCAACGTCGGCGTGCTGGCTGGCAGCCTGGTGGCAGCTTGTCTGGTCTCCTCTATTCTTTGTGGCGCTTTAGTGCTCCTCGTTTCTCGATCTAGAAAATCAGCGAAGGCGGAATCTGGGGTTATGACCGCGATGTCTACTGCTCTCGAACACCCGGTAGAACGGTGTTCTGCTCTTGAACACCCGGTAGAACGGTGTTCTGCTCTCGAACACCCGAGTTGAGGCTACAGCTTACGTTCGTCTTCTTTCTTTCTCTTGTGTGTGTGGTTTTGGGCTGCAATCTTACAGATCGAACAGGCTGTCCCTCGGGGGTCCACCATTGGTCACCGCAGAGGAGTTTCTTGTCTTGTCCTTCGCTGCTGCCAAGGCTTCTTTCGTCTGTTTGCGGCGAAGCGAACGCTGTACGTCTCTCATTACCCTGTTTTTCAATATTTTTTTTTGTTGGCGCTTTCTTCTGAGGGGGTAGCCCTTCCCTCTATCGAATCCATCTGGGTTTGAAGTCATTATAATCTGGGTCTATAGACAGTTACGCGACTTTGCCCGGCGCTTTCCTTATTTTCTCTTTTCTGGGTCTCTCGCAGGCGGTAGCGGCTGAGGGTACATTCATTCTGGCGCGGGTTAATTCACGGGTAACAGGACCGCCGAATGAATTTCACAATTAAATCCGCTTATCTGATCTCTGTTGCGTCCGTGCATTGATGACTAAACATTAAACCTTTTCCGTTATCATTATGGTTTCCTGTTTTTTTTTTTTCACTTTTCGCGATTTGATTCGGTCTCTGGGTGTTGGTGGCTGCTCGAACAGTCGCCAAGGGAGAATCATGCGAGAAGGGAGGGGATTCGAACTCTTAATCTTCTTCTTTTTTTTGTTTGTGATGTGCTTTTCATCAATTGCTCATATGACTCGTGGTATGATGGGGATTTGGACGGTGTTAGGATTAAGGTTGTGCAGTGGAGGCGAGTAGAGGCTACACGGAGGTCTTTTATTGTGTTTTTTTTTGTTTTTCTTTTTTCTTTTGCCTCCCGTTTTTTGCCGTGCTATTTTGCTTAGAAGCTGCGAAAGACAGACAGTTGCGTACAGCTGTGCATCCCTCTCAAATTGCTGCGACGTAGGTCCTCGAGCCATTACTCAACATGTCTCTGGACTGCTCTATGCACCAGATACGTTCACGCTGATCGAACGTTTGTTACGTTTCGAATGTCTTTTGGTCCTTTACCTCCTCAGGATACATTAAGAATTTTGCGCAGTGGAGCGACGCCTTTGGAAGCTCTCGTCTTTCCTTGAGTCCGATTCTTCTCTCTTTGTTTTCCAACCAACAAAACTTGTTTCGAAAAGAAAAATCCTTTTTACAATTTCTTGACTCTTGTCCCATGGGAGTAAAATTTTGGACTCTTGTCTTTCTAGCTGGACCAAGCACTGCGTCACTCCCCAATTGATTCGCTTCGGTTTAAAAAAAAAAAAAAAAAAACAGAAAAAGAAAAACGAAGGAAAAACAAGAACCGGACGCAACCAATCTGCGCTCCAATTGGCGCCTGGCTGCACCTGCACGAGATGAGGGTAACTACCGTAGTTAGGTTACCAAACCTAACCCTAGCCCTACACCATAGCCAGGCGGAGCTCGGCAGAAAGAGGGGCGAAGGGGGGAGACGCCTTGGCTTGATCTGACTACTACCGCCTTCCCGCGAACACAGGGCGCCCTCATTCTGACTATGTATGACTCTGTATATCTGAACGCAAAACAGGCTTGTAAGCGGAAGCTTGATGAGGGTGCGTTGTGCTCGGAGGAAGACCGCAGGTGCCCTATCAGCCTACGATTGGCGTGAATTTCGCCTTTAAGGATCCGTGGCCAAGTCCTTAACAGCAAACGCAACGCAGCCTAATCCCAGAGGACGGAGTGCGGATCTGCACTTCATCTACAGACCGATGACGACAATTGAAGCTTCAACACGTCACCGCTCTCCGGCCGGAGCTCCGTCAATCCGTTTTTTCTTTTTTCTTTTTTTTTGGGGGGGGGGATAAATGCTCCAGTCTATTCGTGGGGAGCAGCACGTGCTGGGAACCGGGCCCAGCGTCCCATATAGAGTTACACAAATCATTTGAGATACCGGGGCCAATCCGTTTTCTTTTCTTTTTTTTTTTTCTTTTTTTTTTACTATTAAAAAGGGCGACGGTCTTGAGATATCATCATTGAGCTAACTGGCCCCAGGCAATTCAGAATATTTGGCTTTTATTCATCAAGTTCCATCATCTGGGTTCGAACACGGGTTTGTATTTCAACAGTTCAATGGGTACAATGGTGTACCCACTGAGCTACGCTCTTGGGTTAAAAATTTGGACCATTTCTCGATTTATGCGTGTCATCCTTGCGCAGGGGCCATGCTAATCTTCTCTGTATCGTTCCAATTTTAACGGATGTCCCGAAGGAGAATACTTACTCTCATCAGAGGTAGGAACCCCCGTGTTCCAGTGCTCGTTGTCCTGAGGAAAATTAGGGCATACTCAGGGCCTCGCCACACCACTCTCGAAATGTGAAAAAGACAAAAATGTGGCGGGTGCATCTGGTCATGTTCTAGCGGGAAGTTCATTCTCACTTTGCACATTTCGAGAGTGGTGCGGCATGCCGTCACACAGCGTTAGCATAGCAGCAAAAACTGAGAAATTTGCAATTCCGCTTTTGGTGAAGTACTGCCGCCCGGTCACACTGTGGGTGGCCCAGATCCTTCAAACTTTTTTTTTTTTTTTGAGGTCTACATAATTTGTGTCGAATTTCCTCTGGCTTTGTGGACGGGCGAGTTTTTTAAAGCTCACTCGCGGTGCTCGGCTCCCGTCATGCAGTTTGGGCATCTGGTGAGCAGACAAGAGCCCGCACCCAATAGTAGAGATGCAGAACCAAGGTCAACGCCACGTTCCTCATGTTAAAAAAAAAAAAAAAAAAAAAAAAAAAAAAAAAAAAAAAAACCGGAACACGCGTTGTCTTCGTGGGCGTACATCAAGCAACACGGCACTTCCTTTTTTTGGCGCGCAGCTCCACTGTCCATGCTGGCACTAGTAGAGATGCCAGCGATGAGACAAACTGCTGCTTGGAGATGGAGTGCGCCACCGCGCCCACAATGGCTAAAGAGGATCAACAACACCAGCCGAGGGCACGTCCAAGATCCCCTCACTTCCAGACGGTTCGAGGCGTCGTCCCCACCTTGATGTGACCAGGTGGGACGATCCCACAAAGGGACGTTTTTTTGCAGGGAGGGACAGCCGTCATTGCTTCTACCGTCGCTCCCATCTGAAATTGAGCCGTGGGGGAGGCCGGCGGAAGATAGATCTTTTTAAATTTCCCTGCGGAAGCGTGCCTATTGCCATCTATGGAGGACCAGGGTGAACGCTCTACCCAGGGGGAAGTAAGCGGAAGGAATGCCCCGGCGGGTGCAGTTTCCCCCGCAACGGACAAGTGGGTTACTCACGGGATTTCTGCAAGGCATGTGGACAAAAAACCGGCGCTATGTGTGTGACCCACACTGGAAATGCCATTTCAGCAGATGTGGTGAATTCCCGACGTTTCTACTGCTAGCAACACCCTCCAGCAGTTCACAGATGGGCTGAAATTTCTTGTCACAACATCCTGAAAACCGAAAGATAATTTGCTACCACCTCCCGAAGTGATCGCAAAATGCCCTTCCCCGTGGCCCGCCACTGACATTTGATACCCCATTTGCTGCACTTGCCAATTTCCCTGACTCGTGCGGCTCGTCCAACCATCAAATTTTAGCAATTGTGCCATAAAAGGCTCTAGTGTGATTGTGCCCTTAGCTGGGGAAAGTTATAAAACCTCCCCACGGCGAAACCTTTGTATTCAGTTCCTTCCCAACGGGGTCGCAGGACCCAAAATGGCTTTGCTGTCATTTTCGCACCCTGACTGGGCCGGTAATGCCTCTGTGCAAAAGTGGGCGGAAAGTGTTCCCCAAATGGCTTTCCTATCATTTTTGCACCCTGACTGGGCCGGTAATGCCTCTGTGCAAAAGTGGCAGGGTGCAAAAATAATGCCAAAAGTCATTTTAGGGCCTGCTGCTGTTTTGCCCTGTTTGGGGGGAAATGAATACAAAGGTGTCACAGGGGGAGATTTTACAACTTGTGGTTCCACACCAGCTTACAAGGGAATGGAATGTTGCCATAGAGGGAGGACGTGGGATATAGAGCTTGAAGACGTATAGTGTGACCCTTCGATTATCTCTCGCACATTTAGGAAACTAAGAGGTAGAGGAAAGAATTAGAGAACCATAGCCTGGAGTTCCCGCTTTTTTTAAGTGGATAAACAATTGCTAACCTATTCCTGGATTTCTATTCTTGGTGACAGCGAAGAGAACACCTCCTGTGTGATTAAGTGCCATACTCAACTACACCCTACTAGTGTGCTTCACTAAGGGAGTAGTCTACTGACCGTGCGTAGGACGCCTGTGTGTACGGTAGATTAAGAGACGTGTGTAAGCTAGATTATTCCGCTAGGGTGACTTCATTTTTCTTTGTTTTCGCTTTCAAATTTCGAGAGGAGATCCACAACACACGGAACTTGACGGAAGTAGTTAGAATTTTTCTCAGGGGGAGGAAAGAAAGATTACGACACGGGGTGATACATTGGGGTATACATTGCATCGAAAAGGACGAGAGATGATAAAGTCCAGGAGAGAGAGAGAGAGAGAGAGAGAGAGAGAGAGAGAGAGAGAGAGAGAGAGAGA